TCTGCCATGGATAGACACATGACACAACAAGCATGACACAATGTGAAACACAACCATGTACAAAATAAGAATTAAAAATGACTCAGCAGTTAAGAACACTGACTGCTCTTGCAGAAGCCCAGGATTCAAATCCCGGCACCCACATGGCAGCTAACAACTGTCTGTAACTCCAGTTGCAGGGAATCTAACAGCCTCTTCTGTCCTCTTTGGGCATTGCACAACATAGGTGCACTAACATGTAGGCAATACACACATGCACATAAAATAAAAATAATAAATTTTTTTAAATTAAAAAAATAACTTCCTACAATTCTTCTTCTATGTTCAAAATTATAGCCCAAGTGTTATCCAAATCATTTTTTAAAATACTTTATTTATTATTTTTATTTTATGTATGTAAGTGTATTGTCCGTATGTATGTGAGTGCACCTGTGTAGTGCAATACCTACGGAGGTCAGAAGAGGGTGTTGGACTCCCCTGGAACTGAAGTTACAGACAGTTGTTAGCTGCCATGTGAGTGCTGGGAATCAAACCTGGGTCCTCTGCAAGAAAAGCCAATGCTCTTAACCACTGAGCCATCTCTCCAGCCCCCGAACCATTGTTTTTTAGAAACCTATTTAATTTGAAAAAATAGTAGACCTAGTGAGTAAAAGTTCCTACTATTTTAAAATAGCTTTGGGAGATTGGTCTTTGTATTCTCTGTTAGTAAGAAGATTAATAACAACTGGCTTAATACAGAAAATGTCTTGTGCTTAATTATTATTAATAATTATTCATATGAAAAAGAGCCTGCTGATACTAAAAATCTAGCCCTCAGGGAGGAAGTTTCCAGGTCAGTCCCAGTTCAATTCCTTCATGTTCTGTGTCCAAAGTGTGTAGTGTCTTCAGCAAAACATTCTTACCTTCAAGTTCTGGGAGGCAACCAAGGGCAACGGCACAGCCTTACATTGTTTGTGGAGTTTCTTCGATCCCCCTGACAGACAACTCAAAGGGAGGTTTTCCTTGCCTGGCATTGGGGTTTTTGTTAATCTATGGAGAGCATTATCACAACTTCATTTAAATTGTGTGTGTGTGTGTGTGTGTGTGTGTGTGTGTGTGTGTGTGTACTTTTAGGTAAGCTTATGTTTCCCTGTGGCTTAAAAAAACATGATGTTATCTCTCCTTCCTCCATCTGTATAACCCTCCCTCCCCTGTTAAAGTTCCCCCATTTCCCCCGTTTTCCCTTCATCGGATATGTTTTCTATTATCCCCTTCTCTAGAGCTCCTCACCCTTCCTACTTTCCTGGCTTCTGCTGTTACCTCAGGTTACATACTCACATCTAAAGATTTGGAGCTACAATCCACAAATAAGAGAGGACGTGGTATTTGTCTTTCTAGGTCTGAGTTACCACACTCAGTATGTTTTCCAGTTCCATCTGTTTACTGGAAAATTTCATGATTCATCTTTCCTTACAGCTAACTATAATTCCATTGTGTATATAAACCACATTTTCATTATTTAACAATTGAAGGACATCTAGGTTGATTCCGCTTACTAGTTATTGTGAAAAGAACAGCAATAAATATGGCTGAGCAAGTATCTCAGCAGTAGAATATGAAGTCCTTTGGGTATATGCCAAGGAATGGTATAGCGAGGTCATTTGGTAAATTTACTTTTAGCTTTCAAAGAATTCTCCACACTGATTTCCATAGTTGCTGTAACAGTTTACAATTCAGTGAATGAGGGTTCCCTTTTCTCCTTCATCCTTGCCAGCTTTTTGTCAGTTAATTTCTTTCCGTTTGTTTGTTTGTTTGTTTGTTTGTTTTGAGACAGGGTATCACTGTCTCACTGTGTAGCCATGGCTGACCTGGAACTCAATATGTAGACCAGGCCTTGAACTCACAGAGGTCCATCCACCTCTGTCTGCCAAGAACTGGGACTAAAGTTCTGTGCTAGCACTTTCTGCCACAGTTGTTTTCTTGATCTTGGCTATTCTGACTGAGCTAAGATGAAATTTCAAAGTAGTTGTAATTTGCATTTCCCGAGTGCTAAGGATGTTGAATACTTTCTTAGATATTACATAGCCATTTTTATTTCTCCTTTTGAGAACTCTCTGTTCAGATCCATACTATGAAATTCTCAAAAAAATTAAAAATTTAAATTAAAAATCAAACAAGACAAAATTTCAACCACAGGGTAAGCAACTAGAAAATTAAATGGTTCGTTCAACCTTTCTATATTCCTTCTCGACTGTCTATTCATTCAAAAATATTGAGTGACTATTCAGATGTCAGGCACTGTGCTAGATGTTGACTAAAAATAAATTAAATGAGCCAGGCGTGGTGGCACACGCCTGTAGTCCCAGCACTTGGGAGACAGAGGCAGACAGATCTCTGTGAGTTCAAGACCGGCCTGGTCTACATAGTGAGTTCCAGGTCAGCTGGGGCTGTAGGGAAGCCCTGTCTCAAAAAGACCAAAAAAAAAAAAAAATAGATTAAATGTTATAGCATCTCTAAAAAAAACTAATAAAGGCTAGAGAGATGGCTCAGTGGGTAAAGGTGCTTGCCTCACAAGCCTGGTGGCCTGTGTTCACTCCCTGAACCCATGTAGAAGTAAAAGGAGAGTAAAATTAACTCCTGCCTGTTGTCCTCTCCACAGGTGTGCAGTGGCACAAAGTCTGTGGCTTGTGTCCCCATATCAAATAGGTGTAAACATATAAAAGAAATAGCTAATAAAGCAGTGTCCCTTGATAAAGCACCTTTTTAAGGTTGGCAATAAAATATCCCCAATTAAGTTACCATATGTATTTCTATAAGTCTCTCTCTATATATGCTATATATAATATGTATGAACCACATGCTGTCATTTCAAAAATGGAAGTCAGGAAAATTGGATTCATTGTTTATTTTAAGTAAATATTTTTATTTCTTCAGACAATAATCACCCATTGTTTAATAGAAAGTTTATAAAGAAATAAGAAATAAAAACTTCGCAATTTTATAATTATGTTTCATAATCTTGTACAGGAATTGTCCGTGATATTTATTCTTTTCCAATTAAAAGCACCTGGTTTTATTAGATAAAATTTCCTTCTAATAGAAGTTGATACAATCCATGACTTCATATGCAGTTAGCCCCTCTGCAGCAGACTAAATCAGAGGGGATCCACTCAGACAGACACCAGCAACACCTTCCCGGATGACTTCAGCATACCATGAACCCATAATCCTTCTGGCCTAGATGCAATCATTTCTGAAGCCTTACCAGCATGTACCTTCTAGAAAGTGTCACTGTTTACCCAGCCCTGGTTGACCCATTCCACCTTTCCCTTGAATTGTTAACTATTTTACACAAGAATTGAAGAGGGGAAGCAAAAACAAGCAACAAAAGTCTACTTAGAACTTTCTTTTAATTGAAAACACCTTCCAAAACGAAATGAAACTCATTTGGTCTCAAGCCTCCTTTTATGAATTTTTGCTGAACTACTTTTGGCATTTTAATGTTGATATAGAGGACAAGGAATCTAAACATTTATTCCAATGTCACAAGGCTGCCTCACCATTGACAGCAGGGACAATGGCAAATGCAAGGGCTCTTTGAAGGCCTAGGGTTCCTTGGGCACTGCCTAGGCTTCTCATAGAAAATTCAGTCTCCAAGGCCCCAGATTTCCAAGGCTTGTCATGGTTGTATATGTGTCTCTATTTCTTTATTTCATCATGACATTTTCAGACATGCATACATTTGGCATGTTTTAGCATCAGTCACCTCTGTCCTTCCTAGAAGACAATATATTACGGGGCTGAGAATCCACCCACCACAGAAGGTGAAACAGGAAATCCAGCACATCTGTGAGCAGCGTCCCTCCTGTGCATTTCGGTTCATTCTCCCACATCCCTGACAGTACATGCACTGTGCAGTCAACGGTGCTCCAGGCTAGCCTGTGATAACAAAGCCAGTAGGCTTGAGTCCCTTCAAGTGCAGGCTGTGGACAGTAGGTGGCATTGCCCAAGCAGGAGGGACGTCGAGGCCCTCCCAGGCACAGCGGTCCCCATATGGCTGAACGAAATAAAAACTATTACCCTGACTTATGAACACATTGTGATCACAGAAGGAGAGTATCTGTGAATCCTCAAAACCTGCCTCACAAAGTGGCTTTCTTCTCCAGGATCACCTTTCAGCTTGTTCCTTCCTGTTGAACTCACCTTTTTCACTTGTTCTAGCAACTCTCCACAGAAGCAGGAGGTAGGTTCCTGCCCAGGAGCCAGTGGCACACGATTAATCTTTGATTCTTTTCGGCCTCCACTGAAACATCTGGTTTTTAAGTCAATTAAAAGGTTATTAGGAGATGACTCTATGAAGGTGTGGAAAAATTGGGGCAAAATTATATTAATTTATGATGGAATCTAAAATGTCTAAGAGAGATTATTTTTATCCACTTCATTAACAGGGTCAATTTATCACCAGCTTCTCTTAAAAAATCAAGATGAGTTCTATGGTTCCTTTAAAGACATACTAATGTGACTTTCTATGACTTCAGGAAGGTATTTTAGACCTCCTCTTCAGCCAACTTTGTTTCCTTGTGCAAATATCTAGGCCAAGGCTCTTTGAGAATATAAAAAGGAAGAAACTAAGCATGCAATCAATAGGAGAGGCACAGAACTGAATCACTTTGAAAGTGAGCTGACTGTGGTCCCATTAAGGTGATAATGGTCCTCTCTCCTCCCTTATCTTTTTATCTTCCATTGGATGACCAAAATAGTAAGTCAGAACTTAGCATTTAGGCAAAAGAATAAAATATCGCAGCTTGCTTTAGATTTCATAAAAGAGCTAGACTCAAACTTAGTGTTGTGTAAGTTATGTTAAAAATAATGATGGAGGAGTCCTTAGATAAGAGACACAAGACTAGTCATGGGTGCTGATGCTCACAAAAGTTCCTGAGAAAACACACAAAGCATCTTGGGAGTAGCATCATGCTAGAGGATCTGCCACCTAATGGTACTCTCCTTTGTTCCCTCCACAGAGCTACAGTGAACCTGTTGATGTTAAGACATCTCAGCCACCCCAGCTGGTCAACTCAAAGCCGTCGGTGTTCCATGGGCCCAGCCAGGCCCACTCAGCTCTATACCTAAGTTCCCACTATCACCAACAACCAGGAATGAATCCTCACCTCACTGCCATGCATCCGAGCCTCCCCAGGAACATAGCACCCAAGCCGAATAACCAAATGCCAGTGACTGTCTCCATAGCCAACATGGCTGTGTCCCCACCGCCACCCCTCCAGATCAGCCCACCTCTTCACCAGCATCTCAGCATGCAGCAGCACCAGCCGCTGGCCATGCAGCAGCCCCTTGGGAGCCAGCTCCCCATGCAGGTCCAGTCTGCCTTACACTCACCCACAATGCAGCAAGTAAGTGTCCTCCTTGCTTAGGATCTTTCCCATGGGCTGGGGGGTGGGGGGAAGGGGTCTGTCCTGTCAAAAGATGGAAGAGGTGGTTATTCTATTTAGATAGAGGGAAAAAATGAAGATATTTGATAGATACCTACTTCTAGAAAACATAATTTACAAGTGGTGAATTGTGGAGAATTCTACCAGGCCAGCCATGGATAGTGGATTCCTCTGAGAATCATTGGTTTCTTTCCCAAGATATCCTTTTGGCATTCCCTTATTGATGATGTTTGTTTTGCTTTCTGTTTCTTTAGAGATAACACGTTACGATGACACATGTGCCTTGGACCTCATTGGAATAGAGTCTGCTGTAATTTCTTTTAATGTTGTTAGGAAATGAGACTGTCTTGACTGGGATGCTGCCTGTCAAGTTCAATAATTGCTATAAAATGAAATCAGATTCAATACCAAAGTTTGTGGATCCCTAAAGGTCCTAAGAACTGAACAGTAATTGGAGTTTCATTTAGAACTGGATATAAGGGGTGCTGGCCTGAGAGAATATTTGTCCAGTATGTGCCGGCCTTGAGCTTAATCCCTAGCACTGCAAAAGCAGCTCTGTGTGTGTGTGTGTGTGTGTGTGTGTGTGTGTGTGTGTGTGTGTTGGTGATAATCTAAGCTCAGCTTTTATTTGAAGTCAAGTTTTTTACTGTTGTTGTTTTAGATTTTGGTGTTACTTCAGAATTTGAAAATTGAGCATACTCTGTAAACACAATGAAACAGAAATTATTCAAAACTCCTGAAAACTCATTTTAGAAAATGAGTGAAAGTAAAAGCTACAAATCATAGCAAACTTACCACTTTTACCATCCAATTACTCCTTTTTCCAAGAGTTATGATTAAATAAGTAAACACAGCTTCCTGTAGAATTCATATCTGTGTTTGTACAATTGGAATTCATAGCTACCTAGGGGAAAAAAGAGGGAAGGATGACCAAAAACGGAACCAAATACAGGTGGAATTCATTTTTATCATGATTTTTATAGACAGGATTTCTGAGCACCAACTATAACAAACCCAGTACCTTAATACTTTATCTCACCTTTAATTCCCAGAAAACCTGCAGCACGGGTATTTATATTGTCCTTACTCTAAGAATGAAGAAACTGAGGGTTGGCAGGTTAGGGTAATAAACTCTCAAGGTCTAATCAGATCTGATCAGAAATCAGAACTAACATTCTTCTTTTTTAAAAAAAATGTATATGAGTGTACTGTCTGCACGTGTGTAAGTGCACCTGTGTGGAGCAATGCCCGTGGAGGTCAGAAGAGGGCATGGGATTCCCCTGGAACTAGAGTTATAGCCAGTTTTAACCACCATGTGGGTGCTGGGAATTGAACCCGGGTCCTCTGCAAAAACAGTCAGTGCTCTTAACTGCTGAGCCATCTCTCCAGCCCCAGATCTAACATTTTTAATGTTCAGCAGGTGGTCCTTCAGTCTCTTCGACAACTTTTTATAGGAGAGCCTGTGTTTTCTAAGAATTCAGAGGGTCTTTAAATACTAATAAATTCTAAAATCAGAATTTGTATTAACAGAAAAGGAATTTATCTCCTCACTGTCCTCCTTGGTTCCTAAACAAATTATATCAATAACTAACATGAGTTTCTTAACTAGGCATCATTAACCAGCTGTTGAATGTGACTCTTTAGGAAGAAGCCCAAGGGTAGTTGGTGGCCGTTTCCAACTTCCAGCCCAGTCTACAGCTGTGTTTATGACCAAGTGATGCTCAATAGGTTCAATTTTCACCCTTTCCACCAGACATTACTCACAAGGAAAGGAACACTCTTGAATACCTTTGTATTTTATTGAGTCTGTAGAATTTGCATAAATAAGTAGTTTGAGGGCTGTCACGTTCAGTGGAGTAAGTTGGCACCTGCCTGAAGTTATTGCTGTCTCCAGGCCGCTGTGATGCTCACTGTACTGTAGCACACCTGCTTGTTTGCGAGGGAAAGAATTCCAAAGCCACAGTCCTCTCCCTGAGCTGAGGGACAGAACTGTGCCAAGAGAGAAGCCCCTCTCCTAATTTATCTACTCAGCAACGTCTCCTTTTTCTCTTTATATTAATCCTTACATAGGGTAACAGTAATCTTGAATAGTTTTCTGATATTGTCTTCCCATTCAGAATCTCAACTGAATAGGGAAAAAAAAGAAAAAATCTACATTGCTTTGGATAAAATATTTATGAGTCTTAAAAGTCAGCTTTGTTAGTGTATCTCAAAAAGTGTCTGGGGGTAGAATCTGATCTCAGTTCTCAATAAAAGACACAATGGAGAGTAAACAGCTACTAAGATGACACTAACTAAAATCACTTTCAACAATGACTTGATTATATAAGCAGTCAGTAAAGCAACTATGGAGTAATGAACAACCAAAAAAAACAAATGAGTAGTTCGCCATACTGTTAGAAAGAATTGAGGTTAGATTGTAAAATCTCAGTTCCTTGAAAGTTTTAAAAAATTTAATTCACAGCTGGGCATGGTGAAGCATGCTTTTAGTCCCGGCACTCAGAAGGCAGAGGCAGGCAGATCTCCATAAAGAGTTCCAGGTCTGCTGGGGCTAAAAGGAAACCCTGTCTCAAAAAGACCAAAAGAAAATTTAGTTCACTAATATAATTTCAGAGAGCACTACTATGTACCAGGCACTGGGATCAGGAAATCAAATGATGAAAGCCTAGAGGGCCTAAGACCCCTCTTCCCACAGAGCTGGAGTTGGTGATGATATGACAAAGAATCAAGATCCAGTGAAGAAGATATAGTAAGAGAGCCTGCCGAGTCATGGAGGCCCGGCATGGAGAGAGCCTTTACAGGCTGCATAAGGCAGGCCCTCTCAAGGGCTGACAGAGATGAAGTAGAGCAGGACCCTGCAGGTTAGGGAGACTGGCAGCCCTAAAGTCAAGATCAAAAAGTGTGTCACCCACTGATAGCAATTTAATCCAATCTCAGCAGTCTACACCAGCCACTCTTCATGTCCTCAGTGAGATTTTAGCCTGTAGATTCAAGTTCGAGATTAACTTGTACATGCATGACTCACCATCCCACCCACCTTCATCCTGAAGATGTTTCCTTCAGTATAGTGACCACATGCCCTTCTTCAAGCACCAAAAAAGAAAGAAAAGAAAGCTAATGGCTACTGGATTTTTTGAAAGTGTCTCACGTTTCAGTGCTACTCTAGTTATTTTATTATTCTTTTGAAAATGGCTGTTTCCGACAAAAATGATTGTATAGTCCAGCAGGAATAATATTCCCATTTTTTCCAGAATAACATTTTGGACACCGAAGCTACGGACCTGCTGCTTTGGTTCAGTTTCCTTCCACTTTTATTGTCGAGTAAGGTCAAGAGGAAAAAAATCATTAACATCTGCCAACTTCCTTTATAACCTTAAGAAAAAGAAATCTTTGTATGATATCACAGACAGATTTTCAATTTCCTTGTGTAATAAACAGCTGCTTTAGGATTTGGGTGTAATTTAAAGGTTTAAAAAAATCACATTGAGATTGATGAATAAATCAGTCGTAAAGACAAAAACATTGATGCCTGTTGAAAATACGTCTCCAGACAGGCAGGAAATGAAATTAGTTCACAGTCAAGTGTGGCAGCGAGGATCACTGTTCGGTGGTACTGCAGGCTTTTCTGGACTTCCTGTGTGGCCCAACAAAACTGTGAGGGTTACGGGAATCTAATTAAAGAGAAAATGTCCCTTCTGACATCAAATTAATCTTTATCATGTTTCCTATTTTTATTTCAATCTGCCACCAGAAAATGAAATTTAAAATTCCGGGCATGCTACAAAACAGTTGGTGATTTTTCTCCTGAGCATTAAAATGCAAAATATTCAGTCTTGTTTAATTAGGCTGCTAAGCAAACATTTTTCAAAAAATTTATGTCATCTTTGTTGTTTCCTATTTACACCCATAATAAAAATATACTTAGCACTAAGGCTGACCTCAGCGTCTCTTCGCATGGTGTTCTGAAGAATGTTTTAATTCCCAACTTAAACTAGAATAATGCTAAATACCATTACTCCAGGCTGTGCTTGTATTTTTCTTGGTTCTTCGTTGTTTGGGCAGACGTGATTCATTTGAATGTAGACTTTGAAGGTAGCAGAATTTTCCATCTTCGATCTTTGTAGATAATACGTAATTTTATCTTAAGCTAATAACTTTAAAAAAAGGAATGTCTTTCTGATATTCTCTTTCGACCTAAGGAATAATTTCCACTGGATGAACGTGGGGGGAGGGGAGGGGCGCACGGCAGCCAGTACGCATGCGTGTTCTGCTTTTCCATCCCTTCAACTAAAGGTATTTCCAACTAGTCTTTGTTGTGATACTTGTTTGCTTTTAGGTTACATTTTATCAATTGCGTAAAAAATTCAATATGGAGAACTTTAGGATAAAAAAGGCAAGAAAGCCATGGCATTTATCTATCCCAGCCTAACAGTAGCATTGAATGATCTGTATTAAACTTTATTTATTGAAAAACATGATTTATTGAGCCACTACTGTGGTCTAGGCCCTGCGACTATCCGGTAAGCACTGCAAGTACTGTCACAGAGTCTTCTGGGCAGCCCTGGGGTGAGGCTCGGTGAAGAAGCCCCCAGAAGGCTCCTTGGACCCTCCTCCTGCTCTCTGTCCAGCATCACATTAGACAAGGACGGAAGCTGAGGAAGCCAAACAATAGTTCAGGACCGTAGGAAATAGGAATCGAAGGCATTTCACTGAGGCCGGTGAGACTGCTCTCAAGTTGGAAAACCAAGACGATATAGAGAAAGGTGAATTCTGTCTGGAAAAACAGGACGCTGGAGGACCAGTTAGACATCTAGATTTTACCGTCCCACTTTGGAAGATGTTATGATTTGAGCTAGGGGTGGCATCTGTACAGGGAATCTCTCCACAACCCAGTTATTACCTTACAAAATCTAGTCCTTTAATTCTGTATAGAGTCAACAACCAGTCTAACTGAACTCTGCACTTCTCAGTGACTTGTTACCTAGCATCCTGATTTCATCTCTCTCTAGTTTCAGTGGGAGCAGGCGTGGACATTGGTTTGCAGTCTTTATAATTGGATTAGAAGATAAATGAATTTCTTAAAGCCATCATTGAGGATTAAGGGAAATTGATAGGAGATGTGATCTCAAATCAGTATGTGAGGGACTGCCCACACATGAGTAAAAGTCCAAGAGATACCTTTTGTTTAAAATCAACCCTCTGGCGGTCCTGCTGAGTGTAAGAAAAGTAAGCGCTCAACATTACACCTTCCAAAGCTGCAAATAAGGAAAGCCCGGTGCATTTTCAAATCTTGATTTCTCAGGGGTTAAAAACCATGACTGGGATCTGCTGCAGAGACAACCATGAGATTCATTAAGTTGCTGTTTTTGGTTCCTTCCAGCAAAGCTTGCTTATGTTGCTCTTGAATTCACCAGATAAGCTAAAAATAAATTGTTGTGTATAATGCTTTTTGTTTACCAGATATAGCTACATACTTCAGAGATTCTGTCCTTGAATTTTTAATAGCTTTGCTGGGATTAAAAGTCAACACTTCACCACAGTAGTGAATTAAAAGAATCTTCCTGAAGTCTGATTATTGTTTGTCAGCTAATAGATTTTTCAATTAAAATGTTTGCTCTGTCTTTATATTTTTTGTTGCCTGTGTTTTCCAGTGACAAGTTGTTTTCCATCTCTTTCCCTATATTAGTCCAACAACAGATTTAAAAGAAAAGCTTTGGTGGAAATTTTTAGTTGAGAGAGAAATACAAATAAAAGAAAAAGAAGAAGCAGATGGTCCCTTTGTGACTGAATGAAGAAAAAGGGTTTTGAGAACAGTGTGTGAATAGGTGTAGTCTAATAAAACACTCAGCCACCTGCTGCCTGAACCCTGCAGAAAAGGCTCTGTTGCTTATTCTGGGGATTAACTATTAATGTATCTTTAGGTTTGATAGAAAACATAAACTTCAAGCGGTTTAAGCTCTTTCTCCCTTTGTTTTGATGGAGTTGGCTTTCCTGTATTTTATATTGTTTTCAACTCAGTTTATCTGCTCGAGAGTATAATTTGACACATGGTTAAACGAAGGAAAGGTGGAAATAATGAGGTGGTGAGTATTTCTTTCCTATCTTTGTTTTAACTCGTATGATCTTTGCATAGGTCCCACAGAAGCAAAGTGGCCTACCATGTTTGCAGGGTTGGGAAATGCTCAGATGCCTTCTTTAAAAAGGCACTGTGTTTCTTAATTGTGGACTTGATTTTCCCTTTTCAGGGATTTACTCTTCAACCCGACTATCAGACTATTATCAATCCTACATCTACAGCCGCACAAGTTGTCACCCAAGCAATGGAATATGTGCGTTCTGGGTGCAGAAATCCGCCCCCACAGCCTGTGGACTGGAATAACGACTACTGTAGTAGTGGGTAAGTGGCCGGCCATTGCCCCCTGGTGGTGGAGGGCCTCATAGCATGCGCCCTTAGTCTAGCTTTCTCAGAGGGGTCGACCTTCGGGAAGGCAGGAAAAGAACAGGTCCAGAAATTTTTGAGCCAACTTCTAGCCTCCCCAAAGAAAGAAAGCCTTCGGGTTTCTGTTCTCTGGGGATTTAGGTTTGACTACATGTGAGCTTTCCCTCGAGCTACAGCAAATCATTTCACCCTCCCAACTGTACCCTGTTGTGACAAGGAATTGTGCTTTCTCTCCACGCAGGGCCATGCAGAGGGACAAAGCACTGTACCTCACCTGAAAATCTCAGCACCTCTCCTTTCCACTGAGGAATTCAGGGAAGTCTTTTCACCGTGGATTGCTTTGTGCTCCCAAGGCAGTTCTCCATTTTATTAGAAAATACAAGTTGCTAAGCACCTAGGACCATTTGAGCTTGTGGGTCACCCACTCTGGAAGAAATAGTCATGCTTCTTTATTATTTTTTTAATCTTTTATGGACATTGTTCTTCTTCCCTGAAGGAAATATGGACCATTCTGGTTTTATGTTGGTTTTTGCTGTGAAGTGCTGCGCTCTAGTAACTGCCTTAGCAACAGTAGATGTCTCGGGTAACAGTCCTGGGTTCTCCATTGGTTTTCATAATGGGTGTTTATATGAAACTACTAAAGACTTTTTAAATGGCTTGATGTAGCAGTCATAGCAAGTTTGTAAATAGCATCTATGTTACACTCTCCTAGAGTATAAAATGTGAATGTTTTGTAGCTAAATTGTAATTTGAAACTGGCTCACCCCAGTTCATTGAATTCACAGAGGGGTTAAATTGGCAAACATTCATATTTTTACTTCATTTTTAAAACAACTGACTAATAGTTCTATATTTTCAAAATATTTGAAAAATATTCCCAAATGATTTTAATTTAAAAACAAATTGGCTTTGTCTCATCGATCAGACAAAAAGAAACTAGTGTGGAGGGAAGCGCAAACACATTTATTTTGTATTGCAGAAAAAAAAA